ACCAAAATGCCTTCAAAATACTTTTCCTGACTACAAATACACTTGTACTGCTCAGAAGCAGCTGTGTTGCTTCCAGCCTGTGTTATGCATTTTACTTTTTTATATTTTTCTAATATTACAGTTTTAACTTCTTTTTAAAAATTAGATGTTCTGCCTGTTCATGTTTGCAACTGGGCCACCTCTTTCAAATCAACATGCTCGCAATTAAACTGACAAACCCTGGGTTAACTTAACCAGTTAATAACCAAGATCATGTGACCGCCTCTGCCCAAGGAGTCTAAACAACGGATTACTGCTGCTGTATATAGATTTACAAAACAAAAGTTAAATTGGGATTACCACCAATTCCAGTCTCACCTGAGTGAGTTGGTCTGTCTGGGTTTTGTGGGTCCTGACTGTCTGGGTTTTTGCCCAATCCAATCTTTCAGTCCATTCAGGTTATCAGCAGGATTCAACAAACATCGGTCCAGTTCCTCCAGAGCAGACTCTTCACACTGAACCCGGCACAGTGGTGCCAGAGCCATGTTTTCTTTGATCTCAAATGGAGCAAATTTCCCACACGCAGCTGCAAGTGTCTGAAATGACAAGGGAAGAAAACACATGGCAATTATTATACTGGAGGTTCATGAAGTCAATATAAACGAGAAGCACTAAGAATGCAAACCTCCGCCAAGGTAGCTCACTCTCTGAACAGCATTTACCTTTAGTATTGTACTTTTAACGATACATACTTTAAGTTTGCAGTGCAGTGAAAATCGAGTAGCAGCTGTATGAAAGAGGTTTGCTTTGATTACACAAACCTTATGTAGGAGTAGATAATGGATAATGGGCACAGATTTTTAAATAACTGAATGTGAATACACTGAGCTTGTTATACAATGTAACAGTAGTTAGTTAAAAATACACTGCAGACTGCTCTCTTTTTGTCTTAACAATACTTGCTGTAAATATTTAATGTGGGTGCAGTTTTAAAGAAAAGACATTTTATGAAACTGTACAGATTTTGAAGGAGAGATCAGAGTTTAAATGTGACATCCATCAATTTTCTTGTCAGGTTAGTGAATCTACTTACCTTTGGAACCTGCTGGATCTTCGATTTTTGTAGAAACCGCGTAATTTCTGCTTTCTCAGCTTTGAGGCGCTGTAACAAAACAGAACAGTCAAATGGTTCATTTTAAATGTAGAACAACATGCTGAGCACATAACTGTCAAAAAGAAGAAAAAAAAAAACTTACATCCTTTTCTTCTTTCAACCGTTTCTCCTCCTCTTTCATTCGCTTCTCTTCCTCTTTCTTTCGTTTTTCTTCCAGCTTGGCCCTATGGCAGATGTTAACAAAAATATTTTACCAAATCTAAACTTAAAAACAAAACTTAATTCAGATTAAATGAATAGACTATATGGATTCCTCTATCAGCTGCCCTATATGTCGCTTAAATGACTGCAAGTGTGGGGGGAAATATAAATAATATATGGATAACCCAAACCACATTCCATTTCAGCTCTACTGCCACAACGGACACAGAAATCTTTACAACCATATGAAACAATGAAAGTGTTTTCACTGTTCAGATTCCTCCATCAGCTGACCTGCAAGTCTCTCAAATGACTGCAGGTGTGGCGAAAAGTATGGACAACTACAATGTAAAACAATAATCCATTACTTACTCCATTTTGGATTTCCGCAGCTCCTCTTTTGCTTTTAGCCTCTCTGCCTTTTCCCTCTCCTCCTTCTCTTTTTTCTCCCGTTTTTCTCGTTCATCCTTCTCCTTTTTCTCCCGTTTTTCCCTTTCTCGTTCCTCCTTTAGTTTCCGAGCTTCTTCCTTCTTTTTCTCTTTTGCAGCTTTGGCCTCTTCCTTCTGCCGTTCCTTCTCCTGTCGCAGCCGGAGTCTCTCGTCTTGTTCCTGTAAACTCTAAATGTCAAATATTTATCACTTTTTCTACAAACTGATAAAGTGGGTGAAGAAATATGACACACAAAAGGCTCACAAACTCACAAAATAAATAAATAAATGAAAGTAAACCAAATGCAACAATTTGGGTTTGGTTTTTTTTTGGTTTTTTTACCTTCAATGAGCGTCTTTTGACCTTTTTTTGATCTGCTGGTATCTTGGGGGTGGTCTTTGACTCCTGTTAGTGAGAGAAAAGAAATATGGCTCAAGATCATTGCCTGTCTTTCACAAATGCTCCTATGTTTAAATTTTAACAATGTTAAAATTACTTCAATTAACAATGACATTTTTCTGAACAGCCAAGATTTACCCCCCCCTTTTAAAACACTGTTAATTATTAATGGTTTAGTACTTTAGTGTTATGCATTATATGAGCAAATATCAAATTAAAGCAATCTATTGATGACAGGAAGCAAACACTCAATAGAAATCTTGTTTTTTGTGTGATATATGCAGATTTATATATATAATTTATATTTTAAAACAAACTCTTTGAACACTGATTATGTCACGTTTGTAGTAATATACTGCCCAATGTGGGCTGCAACAAAAAGCAGGGCCACAGAGTGCTGTACATACTGTAGGTGTAGTAGCGGGTGTAGGGTCATCCGTCTTGGACTTTTCTGGCGAGCTTTCAGACGGAGAGGTGACTGATGAAACTGACTGCATGGACCGGTTTCCCAAACTAGAAACATTTTCTGACTCATTCAGCTCCTCTGCTTCAGTGTCAGAATCCTGTGTTGTGTCAAGCTGAGAGATGGATGCGGTGTTGTTCTTTTCCTCCTCCTCCTCTTCTTCCTCCTCCTCCTCTTCTTCATTATCATCATTGTTGATTACAACAGAGTCTAATGTTTGCGTTTTAGGAGCACCATTAGCACTGCAGGACTTCTCAGGCGAAGCCGTTGTGTCTTTGCAGTGATGCTTATCTTTTGCTGGGACGCAGGGAGAGGCTGAAGCAGATGAGGCAAGGGGCTTTAAAGGAGATGATGTGTTGTCCTCAGTCAGATCTATAATCATGTTCTCATCTGAAGTTGTGGCGCGTCTACGGCTTATGAAGCCATCAAGTGGCCCACGACCATTAACCAAAGGTGGGCCACTGCGCACAGAAAGAGGAGAGGATGCATTCTCATTCTCCCTGTCTGAGACTTCAGGTTCAGGGCAGGAATGGGCACAGGGGCGCTTAGGTGGCTGGTTCTCCTTAGGTTCAGGGTTCAGGCGCTTGAAAGGAAGACGGGCTGGAGACAGAAAAAAAATACGGATCATTTGGAGCTGCACCACTGTGTATGATGAAAGAGAATTTTGATTCAATATATTGATGAGGGGAAAAGTAATACAGAAAGTCTAGAAGTAAAGTAACAGGCACTGTTAGTGCAAGGTATAATTTTACAGTAGACAGCACAGAAATTATGAAACATTTAATCTGCATTGTCTCATTTCTCATTGTCAAGGGTAATATGTTTCACAAAATGCAGAAGTAAAAATTAAACATTGCATTTACCTTGTACAAGTTTCTTGCTGGCATTGTTACTTGACTTACAATCCATGCCTGAAAAATGAAAACAGACACATTAAAAGATAATTAAAGTAAAATTTCACTTCATGATATTCATTTGTTTTAAATAACTTGCCAGTGAAAGTGCTCAAGAAGAACAAAAAAAAAGACTATATAATATAACATAATATAATAAGATTTTATAAATATTTATCAATTCCTTATTTATTTCTGATAAATCTTTAAGTAGAAAAAGGGAATTTCTGTGGAAACATTAGTTTAGGAGCACTGTTTTGTGATGTAAAAACATGTCACCAATGGCAAAAGCTTTGAGAAAAGTGATTGTAATTAGTTGGAATATTTGAAACATCTGTGCCTTTTAGAAGCAAATAAACTGCTTTCTGAGCCCCAATTCAAATCAGTTGTATTGATACAGTGCCAATTCACAACAGTCACATCAAGGCACTTGAAATGGTTTTGATGGACTGGAAAAAAAAAACTGAACAGGTTTTAAACTTCCAAGTATCATCATCCATCTTGGAGCCTATCCCAGCTGTCTTTGTAAAATGACTGCTATTGCAAGTAATACTTAAAACACAGCGTTTAACGTTTTTTTCGTATGTACACACAATAAAACAGTTACACTCATGCTGGTAACCTGTTGAGGCCTACTTCCCCCTCCCCACTCCCAGCAGAGTGATCAGACTTTAGGAGAAGTGGACCCGTTATCAGAACCGATATTGGCATTCATCAATAAAATATTTATCAATAGCCATACCCCCACAAAAATTATATTTATCCATTTAAAAAGCAAAACAAAACACTGGCAACACCACTTTTTAGTGTTAAGATTCTGCTTGTAGTAAAATAGCATTTACTGACTAGTGTCATAACAACAGTCCGAGAACCAATACTAATCGATTGGCATTAAATCCATTTATCTGACAGTAAAAGTAGCTCTTGAATGTGCTGTATTAACGGCACAATATGCTGCAACAACAACATTACACCGAGTATAGTAGCTATGTTTGGCTGGCTCTCCCGCCAACCGGCGTATGCATCGGTGCAACAAGGCCCGGTAGAGTCCACCGGGCAAGCGCCTCAGTTTGGGTCTGTCAGGATACGTTTTACCTGCCAAGCGCTGAGCTGAAACCTCCCTCGAAACAACAACTGAGGATGGTCGTAACAACACGACACAGTTACAACAGCTTCAAAACGTCAATGTGTGTAAAGCTAAAGGGAAGGGAGCAGCTTTGACGCGTTAACTGTGACCCGGCTTTCATGTTTGCTGCTAAGCATCTAGCCTAGCAGCTTTAGCTAAGCACCTGAGGTAGAGCTTTGAGTTGCAAAGTAGAGCAAAAAAATACAACTGTCATTCGGTTAAAGGCCTTTAATTGACAGTTAGATTTGGATGGATATAAATACCGACCAACGGAAGCCTAGCTTAACTAATTTAAACGTTATCCGAGGCTAAAAAGTTCCGGATTGGCGTTAAGTGACATTATAACAGCAAAGTAGCAGGTTAGCTGCACATAGACTTTAATTACTCAAGACAATGGCGCATATTTTTTTTAAAAAACAATCCGTGTGTGTCTCGTCCTATTGGCATTAAATAGCCTCGCGAGATAAAACAGTTTTTAGCGTTGGATATCTTTATAGTACGCAAATGACAGTTTTGTCAGTTTGTCAACTCTGTACGTAGTTAAGACAAAACTGTACTTTGTCTATGATATACATGTAAACATATGTGTGCTTTAATGGCATTCAGGGCCGTAGCATTACCTCTTCTACGAGGAGTCGATGCTGCCAAATGTCCTTCCACCGATGGGTTTTCAGCCGCCAACATCCCAACCACTAACCCGGTGCTTCTGTCGTTAGCTGTGTTCTCCGACAAAGTGACTTCAAAATACCCTCAAGATTCACGTTAACACCCGAAAACACACCGTGGTAGCAAACCAATATTGTGCTGCTATTCGAACGACATGTATAGCTAATTTATTTCACATAAAACATAACACATACTCCTTCCTACAGCTCCTACATGCTCCCCTGGTTTACCCTGCAGCCTGCCTCGCGCTCCCGAGTCGGAATTGGCGGGAGCCTGTCACTTCCATCAATGCTCCTCACTGATTGGCCCAAAAGAAGTTACCGGCTGCCAAGGGGCTGTTTGATTTGTACTGCGGCGCTGCACGTTTATGCTACTGTTCACGTTTTATAAAGCTACGTGACTTATTCTTGGTAGAACGAGAGTTCTAGACACTGTCTGATAGTATTTAAGATGTGAACTGTAACAATAAAAGTCTATTCTCTCATGTCATTCAGTGGTCTAAAACCAATTTAACTTTATTATGCCGACACTAGCCACTCCATAGGGGACACCTGATGCTGTGAACCAAAGAACGCCCAGTGTAGCTGATGATTCGGGCTCTGTGATTGGTAGAAGAGTTTGACTTTCTGAAGTCATGGTTGCCATGTTGTGTGAAATAAAGGAATGGGCCGGTATAAACTCCCGACTATTCCGGTGTATCGGACCAACAGTTTTTTTGTGTCAGGAAAGCGGCTAAATGTTTATGAATGTGTTAATGAGGTTTTCATTTCTCTACTTTATGATTAAAAAGGCCTCTCCTATACTGTTTACAGAGAGGGGACTGGGTGGAAACGATGTCATGTTGAAGTCACGCGTTTTCCGTTTACCGCTCGAATGGCTGCTGGGACGTGTAGTTCTACTGGTCCCCTGTACTTGCCGAATATAAACAGTTTTGAACTACATGTGGTGAACGGGGTAGCGCAGTCGCAGATGATGGGTCGAAAAAGCGCATGCGATTCCTAAATGATTCCAGGACCCCACCGCTGTCGTCGACTGAACCGCGAGGATATTCTGTTAACCCGGTAAAACCGACATGTCTTTGCTGTCCTTTTGCTGTACAGACCATTGCTATTCAAATGAAGCAGCAGCGTGAAATAAAGAGTCACTGAGCTCATATCTGCTACTGTACGACAATTAACTGCTTAGAAACACGCCTTAGCTGCTATCAACTCTAAAATGTCTCACGTAAAGCAAAGAGTTAATAACTTCACGTTGGCATTGGTAAAAGATGAAAGTGTTCCTGTTGGCGTATTGAAATCGATATTCAATTTGAGCAAAGTTGAAATCTGCAGTTAGAACTAATTAGAGGGTTTACTGTTCCTGCAAGTGGTCGAAGGTTAGCTTGAATTTGTATAAATCAAGGTTAGCACTGGCAGAAAATTAATGACAGTTAAATATATAATTTAAAAATGTGTGGAGATTTACGTCGCTTTTTTGTATATTCCTCTTTTTCAGGGAAGACGTGGAATTTCAAAATGGCAGGTTGGTTACTATCTGTCTATCTAAAGAAGGGGTGGGCTGCAAAATACTTGGAATGCAATTTTTACTCCCTGCAAAAACCTTCCAGTGGGCCACATTGGACCCCTTTAGCAGGCCAGTTTTGGCCTCCAAGCCTCATGTTTGAAATCTTCTTATTTAAAGTACAACTCCACTATACCTCATTTTCTCTCTCTCCCTCCCTGCACTGTATTCAGATATATTCAAATAAAAACTATTACTATGGCAGTACGTTTATGATGTAATCTTGCTTCTTGTTTCAGAGCGGGCCAATAACTTTCCACCCCTGCCCAAGTTTGTCAAAATAAAGCCATGTTTTTACCAGAACATTGAAGAGGAAATACCTGCGCCCCACCAGCTTCTGGTACGCAGAGTCTATATCCTCTGGATGAGTAAGTGTCTTCAGTTTCTTCAGAACAGGAAGCATATGGATTCCTTCCATTTTTGCTGAGAAAGTACTTATTTCCCTTTCTTTTTTTCACGCACGCTTATTTCTCCTCTTTGCAGTGTATTCGGGAACGCTGTGCGTAAATTTAATTGGATGTATTGCTTGGTGGGCCGGGGGTGGAGGTGCCACAAACTTTGGCTTTTCCCTGCTCTGGCTCATCCTCTTCTGCCCCTGTAGTTACACCTGCTGGTTTAGACCACTCTACAAAGCTTTCAGGTCAGTTATCATTTAGTAATTGCCCTAAATTTATGAGCAGCTTCTGATTACACACATGCATACATTACAACTTTAGCATAACATCAGGCGTACATTAAAAAGTTCTTATAAATGCAAAACAAACTCAGATGACACATGATCAAAGTCAAATGTTTACCCAGGGAGTAAAACTGGCAGAGAGAAAAACGAATGGCTTTCAAGCATGTTCCAAAGAAGAAGACTATAACGAGCAAAGGCTCTACGGCAAAAGCTGTTTTGTTTTGTTTTCCAGTCTGGAATGCTTAAAAAGCAGCAATAAACATAATATAGATCAAGGGAAAATGAAAATTCATCTGTATCTAGCTGCATTATTCCAGAGCTATGCCAAAAGGTGCAGGTTTTACTGGTTTTACTTTTACTCTTCACTTTTTTTTCTTTTTTCTTAATTTTTTTTAAAGAACACCCCTGTTATCTTTCCAGGGCTGCAGTTCCAGTTAATTGTTAGCGGCTGCATGAATTCTTAAACCCAATAGTTTTTAGCATTGTACACAAATAAATTAAACAAAGTAATTTAGGCCCCTGTCACAGAGACCTGGTTTGCTGACCCAGTTAAAAAAAAAAAACAAGCATTAACCCAGTTAACAAAACTAGTGAGGGGGGGGGCAATCACACCTGTGGACTATGCGGCATTATATCCTGTTATTTGTATTTCCTTTGCTGTGGGCAATACTAAAAGTATTGTAAACAATAGGGTCATTATATATGAGTTTTAAGATCAACTGAAGGTTTTTCAGGGGGCTTTTAGAACAACCCGATAATAATGAATTACAATACTCGAGCCTACAAATAAAGATGCATGAACTACTATTTCACCATGACTCTTAGACATGACGATTCTAATTTTAGACATATTGCGCAAATGCAAGAAAGCAGTGCGCCATATTTGGTAAATATGCGCATTGAAGCACATATCCTGGTCAAAAATGACTCCAGGATTCCTTTGCCAAGGTAATGCCATTCAGAGTAAGTATCTGGTTAAACACAGTGTTTCTAAGCTTTTTAAAGTCAAATAAACTCGGTTTTATCTTAATTTAGAAGCATTAAATTAGAAGACTTTTTATGTCTCTTAAAAAAGTCATAGCTTTGAATCAGTTAGATGTTGAGTGAGCTTAAGAGAGCTGCTTGCACCGCGTGTCAAGAAAAGTGGTCTAAAAGTATTTCCTGAAGATTATATATCTGATTCAAAGCTCTCAGTTTCACGGGTTTACGTACTACTATCTGCATGTGTAATTTTGTGTCAGTATGTTCAGGAAAGATGAGGAAGATTATGATCGCCTCCACCAGGGACATGTATGTTTTTGTTAGCATTTGATTGCATGCATGTATGTCTCACTCTCTGTAAACATGATGGCTTCAAAAGTTTATCATAAATTATGGTAAAACTTTCTAAGCGTGTGGAGTGGCATCATGTTAATAATCCATTAAAATTTTACTTCCATCCACCGAGGTCTTCAAGATCATCTTAAGGATTTATTGGTTGAAAATTGACCAAAAGCCTTTTAACTTAGAAGCTAAAGTGGGGTGTGTTGTCAACATATAGAACGTACTCTATAAAGATTTATAATATCATGTTACAGTTCATCTCTGATCTTTCCTTCAGGGTAATAGATTCATCTGAAGGTTAAAGTAATAATAAGGCTAGATAGAGATATTTAAAATGACAATCGGTTTTCAGACTGACAAGAACATCTTGACATGGGATACTTTTTGTGTATATTGGATTAATCTTATTATGAATTTAATGTGTACATTACAGTAACAGGTTATAACATTTTGAATATAAGGGAAATGTTCCTGAATAAGTTATTTTGTTTTTTTGGGGTCGAGGAAACAAACTTAACTTGTGATGAAAAAACCCTTTCAATTGGTACTTATTACCAAATGGTTAAAAAAAAATACTAAACAGTGAAATGAATGCTTCATGTGTACTATATCCACATGAATTTAAGGTTATGGGATTACAACATCCACAGCTTGAAGCGTCTATTTGAGCTTTACAGCTATCTCAATCTAGTTTTTCTGGAACTAAAAATGACCATATTAAATCAGTGTGAAATGCCAAGTCACCACTAATGCCAGGAAGCCTCCATAAATTTTGTGGGTGCATTATTTGTCAGATAATTTTCTTAAACATGCTCTAAAAGGTATCAGCATAATGGAGAAGTCTAATTCAATAATTCACATTTATAGTGGTAAAAACTAGCAAATAGCAGTCTGCTACAGATGCCTGTCAAAGTGACCACGTCCCTAGTTGTAAACCTTAAGAAAATCTAAAAGGATGAGTTACAAAAATAAGTTAGATACTGGCCCATAACGGTGGACATTTAAACTTGCACATCTGTGTTGATTTACTTGGTTTTGGAACCAGCCTCTTGTGGCCATTCGAGGAACTACACTTTTGGCACTTTTTTGCCATTGGGTTAAATTGTGCGAGGAATTAAAGGTTGTTAAATTTAATGTCTTCAAATTCACATGAGTTAATAAAAGCGGAAAAGGTGAGCTTTTTTGGTATTTAAAAGCGAAATAAAACAAATCTAACTGAAAGAAAAAGATTATTCATAATTTTGAGAATAAAGTCAAAACGTTGAGATTAAGGTCACAATTCTATTTTGAGGAAAAAGTCAAAACGTGGAGATTACAGTTGTCGTTACAAGACAAACTGCCACGGTTGCAATACCCTCTGAGTTAGTAAAATCGTTCTTGGTAACTAGGAAGAATATGATTTCTCTTTTAACACATAATCATATTGTGGCGATAAGGACATTAAAAAGATGGTCAGATTGAAAAACTTTGAAGTAGATTTTGAATTTTTTCTCAAAATAGTTTTTCGGTTTAATCTTGAAATTTCAACTTTCTTCTCAAAAGTATCGGCAATATTTATTTTCTTATGCAGCCCTAATACTCATAGAATGAACTCTTTAGAACGGACAGAAATCGACCCAACCGGTTGCGGCAGATGGCCCCGCCCCTCCCTGAGCCTGGTTCTGCTGGAAGTTTCTTCCTGTTAAAAGGGAGTT